CCATGTGTAAACAAGCAGAATTACTGCATCTTCCCATTGCATGCCGAGCAAACGTGCTGCCTGTATACTTTCTTTTGGTGAGAGATTTGCTCGCTCTATCATGCCATTAGCGACTGCGATGTACTGAACCATTCGTACGTGTTTCGCATCGTGGGGTTGTAGGAACTAATGGACCTCGTAGTTCGTGAATTGTGGCCCATTATCCGTCACAACTTCGAAGAGCCAAAATCTAGTAAACGGATTCTTCAACCGTCGTATAACTGTTGAAGTATTCACATCGCCACGGAGGTGAATTTCAAGCCATTTGCTACAAAAGCACGTGACCACCAGATGGTTTTGTGGTGCAGCATGGAACGGTCCCATGATGTCGATCGTCACCTTCGACCAGAGCTTCATTGGATTAACGATAGGCTGTACGGGTGCACCAACCGGATTCGAGCTCTTATCGGCTTTCTGACGCACGCGTCCACAATTTTAGACATCCTGCAGCCGGCGCTTCGATCGCACGATGTCTCTCGTGTTCACATTGGATGATTTCCGCTGGTAGCTTTCCCAAGGGGCCGTGAATTGCGGTCCCTGCATAAGACAACCATAAATGACCGCGAGTTCATGTCGTAAAGCACAAAACGCGCAGTTTGCCACAGCTTCCTATAGCGAAGCCAGGCGTCGGAGAATTAGCGGGACACGGCCTGCCCATTTGGACCGCTTCTGTTAACTTTTTGCAGCTCTGCCTTAGTCACGGTAGAAGGCTCGTTTGACTTTTTCTTCGTCATCTTCCTTGTCTTGATCGTCCAGTGAAAGACGGGTTAACCTATCTGCGATGTGATTCTCGGAGCCTGGGTGGAATGTGTTTTGTTGCGCCGATTACTCCGAAGTGGCCTGTGACCGTTGGTCTCCCTACTACGTGGAGTAGTTAGTACGGCGTGATCTGTACATAGTGTAAACCTCCAACTAAACAGAAAAAGGTGCCATTTTTCACAGGCGCAGACACATGCGTGGACATCTCTTTCACCAGCGGAGTATGAAGCCTTTGTATAGGATGACTTACTGGAAGCATTACTTTTTTCTTTCCGTCCTACATATGAGGCCGGACAGCTTCTGATACATGTTTGATGCATCCGCTGAGAAACAATTTCGTCAAAAATGGCTAGCATTTGAGGAGAGATGAGATGTCTTTTGATTTATTGTAAGGTAGATTGCTGTACAGAGCCCCAGTCAAAGTTGGCCTTCTTTTTGTTTAGCATCCTCAAGGGTTCCACTAAGACAACAAAATCTTGACACATGCCAATAAAATGCTTTACTTCAAACGCATTATTCGTGATGAATGCTTTTCTGATAGCTTAAGTGTTCGCGGCACATGGTCGGATTCCACCAGACAATATGATGTGCCCAAGGAATTCCACTTCCGTAGCAAAAGATTTGCACTTTGCAAGTTTGAACCCAAGATCTAGGCTCTCCAACCGATGTGATACAGCGCGTAGTCTAGAGTTGTGGTGTTTTCTAGAGGTACCAAAATGCAACTATCATCCATCTAAGCGACTTACCCGGGTTGATCTATCAGCAAGTGATTCGTGAACTTGTGCCAAGCTGCCAGTGCGGAGCCGTAGCCCATTCACAAAATTTCGTACTGGAACAGACCGCTCTATGCCTGGAAAGCCATCAAAGGCCTCGACTCCTGTGTCAATGGCATGTGAAACAAATGCTTTATTTACTTCTATTTTGGAGCAACATCGTACGCTGGTTATCTCGACCAGCAACTCATCAACTGTGGGAAGAACGAATTCCTCGACGACGATTCGACTATTCAACGCCTTCCAATCATTACATATGCGCACGGTATCATCCTTCCTTAAGACGGTGACTATGGGATGTATCCACTAGGAACAGTTAATTTGCTCTACGAGGGCGTTGGATACCATCTCTTGTATAACCTTTTTACCACTTCACATCTAGTCAGTGTAATGGGACGTGCTTGCGATATCGAAATCTTTGAAACATATGCAGTTGACATATGCGGATGGAATCCGGCCAATTGTTTCAGGGAGCAATTTGCATCGATGCATTGGGTGCCATAATCCGCATTCCATCGATAGACGGTGTTATCTTAAGAGCAATCATGGTATTTCGCCCCAGCAATGGGCTAGACCATTTTCAGAAGACAATGTCGGATGCGTCAGTATTAATCCGCGAAAATGCACACGGGCATTTGTTTAAGAGTCACTTTTGTGCGACGGTGCTTGTAATGGAATGTCCTGCGAATAATTATCATAATGGCAAGATAGAATAATTGTTGTGGACAATGCCGAACCGAATTCCACAGCAACTAGCACATTGGTGTGGCGTCCATGGAGCGTGACTGTACGGATGTCAGGAGAAAGGGGATTAGACTGCATCACAGAAGATTATCGAGTTGTTGGTCAAGGTACTTTTCTGACCAAAAAGATATTTTCTGTAGGGCATGGAGAAGGGCTAAAGCGACAGCTTCTGACGAAAAGGTCTAGCTTACCACAATTTTCCCAGTCTGCTATGCAGGCCGGACATGTTTGACAGTCCGCTTTGTGGCGAGAACTTCCAAATCGATAACACAAAATGTTTACCTGTTAAGATGGCGCTGAAGTTTTGTTCTGACTTGTATTTCTGCCATGTGTTTTACTCGTGTTGTACAGACGCGATTGTTCCAGCGCGGCTGTTATGAGCCTGGCGATCTTAGGGTCTGCCCAGGAAAGCTTCGAATGATCTCCGGCAAGTAGGCTTTCTCATATGCGATGATCAGTGTTGCCGGTTATTACTTGTTGTGTCAGCATAACTCCCTCAACTCTTCTCTTTGAATTGCTGTCGTAATCATTTTTCTATAGCACGGAACAAACGATAAAAAAGTGGTTCAGCGGTTCAACCTTCTTGCCTCAGACGACAAAATTTGTAACGTTCTGCAAGAACTTTAGGTCACGCTCCGCAGGATCGATTCAAGATATCCAACGCGTTTACGAGCGTGTCCACCTTTTGTAGTTCAATTGCGTCATAATTACGGTAGCCCTCATTGCCTAAAAGGGAACGACCAAGTTTTAACTATTGATTCTCATTGTAAGTTGCAGTTGACGGCAATAAGTCGAAGTAACTAGTAAACGTCTTCCATTGAGTCCATTCGCTCTCGGTAGGTTTGACATTTGAAGAGCGCCAGAAAGTTTCCTGAGGTGGATGATGAAATGCCATTGTAGCGGTTCGGAGCCGCGACGCTAGTGTTGTATTCCAGTAGGCTCACTGGGTCTATCCGCACACCGACCTCAAAAGCGGTACTCCGGACACGCACGAACTGTGACCAGAAGAACGCACGACTCACTTGGGCCCGTGTATTCTGTCTAATGACTCGTCTGTACAGGCGCAACGAGTGTTAGCGGTCAGTCCACAAACGTACAACCAATCAGTTCCGAGCTGGGCGTGCGTGCACATTTGGAACTATCAGTAAGCGCACATAGTACCAACCGACATACAACCATAATTATTTCATCAAACTTCGGCCCCATCCTTCATTGGTTGTCGAGCAGCTTTACAAGGGTCGCCTTATCTGCTGCATCTAACAGCACGGATAAGCTAAAATATGCTATTGATGTAGTAGAGGCCTACTGTCGTTGCATTCTTGCCAGCCGTTCTACATTCGACTCGGTTGATGCACCTGCTCTATGGCTTTACTTGCTAAGGAACAGGGTCCTGAAAAAGTATACTACCATCCTGCGCGCATTCTACCTCCACATCTCCAGCATATTGAGGGTCTATGGCTAGGTTTCTTCGTCTTTCGCTGTTCGTAACGATGTGCGACTGGGCTGCCGTGTCCCCGTTCCTCCATTGAAAACCTCCTGTCGAGGGCTCTGTAGAGTTACCGACATGCTTGTAATTACTACCGGGTAAGGGAATGCTAACTTAGATTATGTCTATGGCATCTCCCTACTTGGTGACGACTCGTACAGTATACTAACTTTTCTAAATCGTTTGATGTTTGAGGCTCGCTCCATTGAAATGCAATGTTGCTCCATACTTGGTACGTCCGTTCCCGTGTACACTCTTGAAGATGAACATCATGAACGCGCTGGCAGCTTTGTATACCTGGGGAGCTGCATGTCTGCTGGTGACGCTATCAGCAAGAAAATCTATTTCCGCATCGCCAAAGTCCGGTCCTCGTTTGTCACCAGACAACACTTGTGGCGTCTTCGTGCTATCTCTCTCTTGGTAAAGAGTAGTGTTTACAATGCCATCGTTTGAGCAGTGTTGCTATATGGCAGTGAGTTATGGCCAGTTTGCGTAGATGAAATGCGCCAGATGTCAGCATTCGATAATGGGTGCTTGAGGAGAATTGCTCGTGTGTGGTGGCGACGTATCTGCGACTGTAAAGTCTTAGGGAATGCGAGTATTCCCTTCAAGAAGCTGGTTTTACTGCGCCAGTTACAATGGCTCGGCCACCTGCGTTTAATCTACCGCGCCCTGTTGCCCCGTGGAGGATTCTGTTGGGAGAGGCCACGCAGTGGCAACCATCTGTCCGGCGACATATGAAATCTTTGACTTTACGTCCTGTTACCGTTGGAATCATATACCTGCCTTGTTTGGGACCTAGGATCGAGGAGAGTTGGTGGCTCGAAACAATTTAGGTTATGGTGCGTAACTGAAACAAATGAAAGATCTATGTCCATGGACCTTTTCGGTACACTGCTGGTTTAGCACGCATAAATTGGTACCGTTTTATTCTAATTTGTTTCCGTACCATACGGATTTCGAGCGCATTTCAAGTGTGCATGTCAAAGTAATTGGCGGTCAGTATTGCTCTTTGTGCATAGATCATGAATTTGCTACTGGCATTGGTTTTTGATCACCATACATCGTTTTTTATTCCTTGCTCATTTGTAGCTTAGAAGGTTAAACTCGAAAGACGGCTTTTTTGACATCAATTTTGTTCTCTTTTCCAGGCCAATTCCCACTCTGTGAAGCTTACTTATATTCACTGCATCCTTCTGATGGCCCTCAAGGCGTTTTTATTAGAGAAGGTGAATTCCCCGTTCAATTTTTTTCACTACATACTTATATCATAGATGTGTCTGCTTCGAACCAACAACTTTCGGTGGCCAGACTTTGTTTTCAATTATACGATTTACCACACGATTGTGTAATCATGTTAGTGCCGCTACAGAAATCGGCATTTGGGAGGGAGCATCCTCGAAACATCACTTCGGATACGATCCTGGTAATCAAAATGACAGAGGTTTACTTTTGAGTAATCTGAGGTCCATTTGGAATTTACATGTCACAACTCAACCACACGTCGGGTACTCCAAATGCAGTATTGTATTCCTTACCGCTATGTAAAGCGTTTCTCACGGAACTCAGTGGTCGGGTGATCAACGCGTCAGCCGTTAGTCATTAGGCCCTGAATTCCACTCTCAACCTAGACGAGTCCAAGCAAAAAGGAAACCGGTCATGGGGTGTCATTGTTGGAAGGAGAGATGTCGAAACCCCTCCATTTCGGACATGTTACTAGTGATCGGAGTGACTTAGGTCTCTTACCGCAGACATTCCAAGCCTAACTTTGGAAATTGTGTCTAATTTTTTACAAACGAAGTCTTGGTTTATCCCCAGCAATGTTGTTGCTTCTGCGGCTTATCCCAACATAGTTGCCTTATCCTCCTAGGTCTCTCGTGACTGTGCATATCTTTCTGCGTCTTTGGCGTCGCTGGAGCTTCGTTTGCTGACCAATTGTCACTCCATTTGTCACCGCGGAAATCGCTAACTTTGGGCCGGTTTTACCTATCTCTATCTAGGGTCTATGCTCTACTAACGCTGTTCAATATCATTTTTATAACAGAAATGAGATTGGATGTTGCTGATTACAAATATGCAAACCAAATGTTTCCATCACGTCGGGTTTTTGTTTAATTTCAGTTTTTCATTTCAACTGAGCACTGTGTTCCATGCATCGTATGCTCGAATGTGATTGGTCCATTGGCTCCCTGTAATCGTGGAAAACAAGCCCCTTGGCCAGGGTATCCACCTGATACTGAAAGTCGATTGCGAGCTGTGTTTCCTTAATTGACATCTTGATCATAACCGAAAGACGCTGCGGTGTCAATGACTGAAATCATTTTTATTACGTTTGTGGACAGTTTAGTACAAAGTCGCAGCGCGGACCCATTTCTTCACTTCTGAAGTCTGCCTACCACGCATATTTCGGGATGAAACTGAGAGGTCAAAATGCGAAGTGGGCGCCGCATATTGTCTGTGTGTCGTGCAATCTTCATCTGACTCTCAAGGGCAAAAGCAAGATGCCCTTTGCAATCCGCATGGTGTGGACGGAGCCGAAGGATCACACGACAGACTGCTACTTCTGCCTAACCAGTGTCATTGGAATCTCAAACCGAAACAAGGACGAAATTCATCACTCGATCCTCCTTCATCAGTTATTCGACCTGTTCCTCATGATTGCACCTTACCCATTCCAGTGCCTCCGATGAACATGTCACTGATGATGAGTAGTGATTCCGCATCGTCAACTCACATCTTGCCTATAGACGAGGCCGAGTAGCTGGCATCCAGGCTGCAGCAGTGGCGTTTACTTGCTGCAAATACTAAGGTTAATGTATACAGGAAGCGAAGTGTTACATTGTCCGATTTCTGTGACGCGAGAGGAACCTTTTGTCACTGTTTCGGCGTGGAAGGGCTGATGAAGAAGCTTGGCGTGATGCATATCAGTGATGAATGGCGTTTGTTCATTGACTCGTCCAAGAGTAGTCTTAAGGTCATACTGACCCACAATGGAAATGTGTACCCAAGTGTGCCTCTGTTGCATGCCACCAATATGAAGGCGACTTACGAAAGTGCGTATGTAACAGATACTCGCTACACTGAACTGCGATAAGTACTGTTGGAACATTTGTGCTGACTTCAAAGTCATTAGACTCCTAATGGGTATTCAAGGAGGCTTTACAACATATTGCTTTTTTTGTGCTTATGGGACAGTACAGCAACTTAACATCACTACACAACATAAAAGCGAGGAATAGTCACGGCCTTTAGGAGATCTTCCCTAGATTTTGCGTAGAGCAACGAGCAGTAGGCAGGCTTATCTGCTTCACAAAATCAAGCGTATGCGCCGGCCCCATATCCTATCTCAGACGCATCAGAAAAACATGAAACTGCGAAATCGGTTGTTAGGTGTGACTCAGGGTTATGCACCTGGGGAGTTTCACTTCACCTAGTTCCTTCATCCCCGACAACCTATTTCGCCATACTTCTGCGTCGTCAGGAGCAACTCCTTCGTCCCAGGCACGCTTGTCCCGACAAAGTTTCTGTAACGGTAGCTTGGCAGGCATGACCACAGCGCGATGAATCCCAGTGGGTCATAGAGAAAAGATACGATAGACAAGATGGCTCTCCTTGTCTTCGACCCATACTTCACATCAAAGCGGAAAACGAAACAATCATCACCGGAATTCCATTCCAAACCTAGAGTTCGTAACACAGGCTTGCCTGACAACTCAATCTCTTTGATCACATCAGCAATCTCTTAAGGAGGAATCGCTTTATACACCCCACCGCAGTTCGAAACCCACTTTCGCAATCTGAAGCCACCACGCCCGAGCACTTCTCGATTTTGTGTAACCAACTATACTGCTTCTCGCAGGGTTGGAAGCGAAATCAAACAATCCTCTGCGTAGAAATTGGCGTGAACAGCATCTCTGAACATCTGCCTGTATTGTCCTCCCCACTCATCAGCGGTACGACGCAGAAGAATTTGCACAAAAGGGGACGAAGTTGCAACAAAGGGATGTGCGATCATTTGGTACTCCAGAACATCTGCATCTAGATCTCCGTCTCGGCACCATAAGAAACGCAACGCACCTTTATCCTTCGCCGGAACATTTACCTACATGAACATTTCTCTATGTCCGCTGCAATAGCCACATTTTTATTTCTGAAACGCATTAGAATTCCTATAAGGCTAGAAGTGACATCCGGTCCCTGTAACAACCGCTCGTTTAACGAAAATCCTTTATATCTCGCAGCACAATCCAAGACCACACGCAGCTCATCAGGCTTCTTAAGATTTATCACGGCATGGTCGGCTACCGTTCTCCATGGCTCAGTTGCATAAGCTGCGGGCTAGTTGGCACAAGCTACTAGCAGTCATGGGTTCGATCCTCCGTGGAGGACCGAAGGATGCGTACCACTGACGAGCCCCAATAGGGTGAAACGGGGGTCTGGTGCTTTTTCGGATAGGTAGTTGACTTATCTAGATTGTCGGCTGACTGCGACGAACAAAATTACTCACAAAAGTCCTTCTACTCATAAGTAATCTAAATTCGCCCCTACGGACTCCATGAATGCTATGTCGATTCATAGCTGCCGTAACCAGAAGTCCTGACACCGGAAGGCCAAACGCTGTCATCTGCATGGCAGTGGACCTTGGGTCGGGCTGTATCGCAGTTAGCTAACAATTCACGATAGTCAGATACCGTCCCCAATGGCGCAGTTGCATAAGCTGCGGTCTAGTTGGCACAAGCTACTAGCAGTCATGGGTTCGATCCTCCGTAGAGGACCGAAGGATGCGCACCACTGACGAGCCCCAATAGAGCGAAACGGCCGTCTGGTACTTTTCCGGATAGGTAGTTGACTTATCTGGATTGTCGGCTGACTGCGACGAACAAAAATACTACCTCTGCTACTACCACTAGACCTATGACTAACTGACAAACTAGAGCGGGAAACTGCGTCATCCGTGGCAACATCAAAAGGTTCGACTTGCCCAGTATCGCCAATATTCACAAATTTCTTTCTTGACGGCTTTCTTTTTGATGCCATTGTTTTGTATCCAACGTAGCACAAATAATCCTGAGTTGTTTTAGCACTGTTACCGACAAATCGGTCTTGGAACCTGAGCAACTCCTAGCGTAACCGTGTCCATCCAAAAGTCAAAGCCGAAAGAGCTCAGGTTCTGTTTACAAATGCTTAGACAACAATTTAATAACAAACCTCAAACAATTTCCAGACCTAATGTGTACAATAATTCGGCTCTCAAATACAACGTGCCGTCAAC